CTACCTAAAAGAAGTGCCTACAATTTAACGAGGGGATTAGTCACTATGTCCGACAGTGAAAATCCTGGGTATACCCATAAATTAAATGGAACATATGCTGAAAAAATAGAGATTTCGATTACCTATCATATGCTCATAGGTTACGTTCTTGATGAATCAATGACACACTATCGGGATGATGAAGAAACAAAAGTAATTGGATTACCTAAAACATTTTGGTAGAAGGGTGCTAGACTGCTAGAGTCACATCAATTAATTATGTATGACATGTTTTAGTTAAATGTTGAATGGTGCTAGAGTCGGATCAATTAATTTGTTTATTAGGGGTTGACATCATAGTTATTATTGTCCCTTCAACCATATCCGAGGTTCCCTATCCAGTGTCGCTCTACTATTTTTTTACCTTAGCTCAATACCTTAGACCGAGTCATAGGCTCTGATATATACAATATTAATCTAATTAAATATTTGTGTCTATTCATTGATGAAAAATGTTGTACAATGGAACTTGTTTTTATACACTGCTAAGACACCTTAACCACCTATTTTCAAATTTAGAAAGAGAATTAAATCCTCAACTACCCTTGATTCTCTCTAACATTCCTCTTTCGTTAAAACATACTCTTATCTTCAATTGTATTTGACTTTTCTAAGATTTGATATTTTCCCGTGTAAAGCCTCTTTTTGTACACAAAAAGCTATGTCGCTAATGTCATTATTAGGTCTTTTCCAATATATATCTTAGTTCGTTAGCCTCTTTTGCGGATTTATCTCTATGGGTAGGGAACCCTCTCCCACAAATAAGTGAGGGTTCAATTCTTCTTTTAAGAAAAAATGTCTTATTTCCCTTTTTTAATTTTAAGTCTTATGTATAATATGTCTTCCATTAGTGTGCCTTTTCCAAACTCTCAATCTCATGATGATATAAAACTCATTTTTACCTAAGTCTTCTGCCAATAATCAACCTCTTCTATTTGTTGACATTTCTTCTAATTGGCTTAGCAAACTATTAATCTGATTTGATTATAACCTATACTTTTCCTTTACAATTTTTCAAAAAAATTACACATTAGTTTAATTATATATTCTAAACTCCTAATACATGACATAAACATCATCAAAATCAATTAATATAATATAACTTTCTAGTACAATCAATTATTCAATTCCATACTTAAGCTGCGCTATATATGGTTATCAAATATGCTTATCTATAAGATATAAAATACATTAACTTATAGTATAGTGTGCACTAAATAATCGAACAATTTGTGTTTGTATGCGGAGTTCATGACTAAATATGTTTAGGATTGCAATTGCCACGTATGCTGCAAGAATTAAATAATTAGGGTTTAAGTTTTATTTTTTTTATTTTTTATTTTTTTAAAAAAAGTAATTTCTTTCCGTCTAAACTGTTTGTCATGAAAGCGCCCAAATTGGAGTTTCTGCTGTCAACCTAGCCAATTTTGTTTGGGTTTGAAGTGATGAGGGAAAGTGACTCCACTCTAAATCTTGCCATGTTTTATTCTTGATTTATATAAATATAATTAATGTTACACCATGAGGACAATGATGACGACCACGACGATCATAACAATAACCTAACATACTACTGATTGCAATTTTTAAGAATATAATAGCATTAGATAAGGACGACAATAAAAATAAAAATAGTTAACTTGTTTCTAACTTATTTTTGGGAAGATTCATAGTCTTCCAATTTATAAATGTAGATTGTTTACTTCTTGAGCTAATCACTTTTGTCTAGTTACAACCTTATCAGTTAGCTATTAGCTAGCACGTACGTGTTTAACTCAATGGTTCAGTATGCAGTATTTGAGAGAAGAGACAAAGATTTGAATCTCAGCTCGGTGGTGACAGTATGGGGATTATGTCTAAAGTGGGCAGATCCCTTCCGTGTGCCAGCATTTGACTCTGTCTGCTAAGTTATTGAGTCACCGTGATTTATATCATCTCAAATGCTCTAGCTATTAGTAACTTCATTTATTATTACAATTATTTTTGTTTTCTTTTGTGTAATTTCCATCTGAATAATGTGTGATTTTTTAATTTTTTTATGGTTTTTGTTTTTTGTGGGAGTGTTATTTTCATGCTAACGTAGATTCTTTGTCCTTGTATACCAACACTGAGGATTACATTTCTATTGATCAACTCATTAGTATATTTATTAATTTTTAATTTAGTCATTTATTTGTACACACATACACCTCAATCTATTTTTTTTTTTAATAAAAAAAAAAAACCTACTTTGTTTATGTGGATCAACACAATCTAACTTTGAAAAATATTATAAAATTCTCCATATATTTTTGGTTAAAAAGTTTTTGAGTTGTAATTTTTTAAACTAATAATCTCCCATTTTCGTATCATGTTTATTATTTAATTCATTGGTCAAATAAACACTTTCTTCTTTACTTATTGTCTTTAGTATTTTCTTACAATTTCTAGATTTATTTATTTTTTTAACTAATAACAAATTTAATATTATAAAACATTTAATTGAAAATAATTTGAGTTAAACCTCGTAAACTAAATTCCACACATAAAATGAGATGGGATGAGCAATAGATTTTAAATTTATATACAAATTTTACTATGAATACTTATGTGCATTAAAAATAAAGCCCAAAATTTAGTAAATGGATCTATAAAATACAAAATTATTTGTAAATAAAGGTAGTGTCAACAATTATACTGTGGACCATGGTCCCCAAAGCTTTGTGGACCGCGGTCCAAACGACAGACACTATAATGTATCTAAACTGACACTGTCTCATATTATTTTTTATATTATCAAATGAAACTGCAATTATATTATCAAATGAAATTGCAATTGAATTGAAATGAAAATGTAGTTGTGTTGAAATAAAATTGCAGTGTATACAAAATGAAACTGAATAACAATTTCACATATTTGAGTGTATATTGTCCAGTGAAACTGTAGTTATATCAAACTGATACTGTAATTGTATTGAAATAAAACTACAGTGCATATTTGATTCTTGGACCATAATGCATTGTGGAATGCGGTCCACAGTATAATTTGCCGAGGTAGTGTGTAAACGGAAAGGTTATACTACTCTTACCTACAATGTTTTCATGCTAAAAACAAATGACTAAGAAAATTATAATAATCCAGAAATCCTACTTTTTGAAATCAAACTATTTTAGAATCTTTACAATCTTTTCTTTTGTGGGTTCTGTAATAGGTGTAATAGACTAATGAAATGTCCAATTTGGGTCCAGCCAAGAGAGCTTAAAAACATAAACTGAGTTTTACCCATTAGGCCCACAAAAGTGCCCATTCCACCAATCGTTATACCCTACACCACAGCATACATAGCACTGTGCGCCGCGCGCCTCCCAAAACGATGTCGTTTTGGGAGGCGCGGTAGGAAGTTGCTGGAATTATGTGTATTTGTTCACAAAGTTATGTGTATTTGTTCATACAGTTATGTGTATTGGTTCATACAGTTATGTACATTTTTTATACAATTATGTACATTCTTTTTATACAATTATGTACATCCGAATCAGAAAATTTGTGTGTATTATGTTAAGAGTTGATTGTATTATGTTAAAAGTTTATGTTTATTATGTATTATGTTAGATTATGTGTATTATCTTTTAAAAAGAGTATGTATATTTTGTTATATAATTATGTACATTCATGTATACAATTATGTGTATTCTAGTATAACATTATGTACATTCTTGAACAGCGGGATTTTTTTTTAAAGGAAAAACTACTGTCATTCACTAGGGCGGGAAATTTCAAAAAAAATAAAATAAAAAAATAAAACGACGTCGTTTTGCATCTGGGCGCATAGTGCAACGCGCGCCGTGGTGTAGGATATAAATTGCCCCATTCCACACTGATATATAAAAATTCATAGCTTAAGGGGTTCGAGTCAATGGGTAGACGATGATCCATGTAGGGATGACAATTTGCCTTATTTCATCGAGAACAGATATGAAAAAAACTTTCGGAGAACATGAATGAGGACGGAAAATATATGTAATTTCACGTCGGGGATATGAATACATCTCTCCGTCCCACCCATTTTCGAATAATTATTATAATAATTATTATAATTAAAAAATTTATATATATATATATATATATATATATATATATATATATATATATATATATATATATAACATAATTATTAGACATCCGTTCCACTAAAAATAGGGGTACAAACCTAATATTTAGTTTAGTACCAAAAGAATGTAGACTTCGAATGATGAATATTATGAGGTAAATTTAATAGAAGAAAAGAATAATTTTTTAACTCGTAACATACATGTGTTATTATCTTTTATATAAAATATTCATTAATTACTTGGGAATTAACTAATATTTGTATAAATATTGTTGTTACTGATACAAGTAACATTAACTCATGAACACATAAAATTGGATATGATATATGCTTCTGGAATCACTGCTGGAAATTTCGCATTTTCCAACGCGATATATTGGTCGGAAACGACGTTTTCGTCCAACATACCGACCAAATTGAACGTTCGGAAAAACGCTTGTCGGAAATTTCGTCCAACTCAACTTTTTGGTCAGAAATTCCGTCCAACGAACAAAATTTGGACGGAAATTCCGGCGAGTAACCCACCATTTTTAAAACGTGAAAATTTATGTCCAATCATGTGCGTTGGTCGGAAATTCCGTCCAACTACGTGCGTTGGTCAAAAATTCCGACCAATGTTGGACGCAAAACTCACATATTATATTTTGTAATTTTCCTTCCAACTGTTGGTAGGAAAATCATAAATCATGGAATGTTTTTATTATTTTTATATTACATTATTACCATAATTTTATTTATACCTGTTATAAATAAATTATATGTCATCAACAAATTAATGGACATTAAATTTCAAATTGAAAATATATTTAAACATCAAAATTCTTTACAACAAAAATTATGGTCATGTTCATAAATAAATAAAAGAAGTCATGAAAATATATACTACTTAATTGATACTACTTAAGTATGCACTAGTACCCGGTTACTCCTCTAAGTGAGGCAAGTAGTGTATATATAGGGTATCCCCTTCTTTATAATAATAAAAAAAAATACTACTTAAGTATGCTGCACCCAAATAAGTCTTCAAATCCGGCAATACTTCAACGGCTTTGATCAATGCATCATCCACAACCTTCTTCTTCAATGACTTTGATAAGTGTAGACCTTCACCAAAATTAGACCGTGATAAATTTCAAAATGCAAAAACCATACAGAAAACATAAACAACACTTGGAAAAACAAACTTAGAAGTCATTTCTCTCTTGCAACTGCAAATGATCCAGTAGCAACAAAATCATCATAAGCAACCTGAGATAAACATTTCATCAATTAAACTTAAAATGCACCACCATCCATCAAAAGAACCCATACATGTTAGGAATATTCATGTTCTGACCAAAACCAATCACCTTTCAAACTCATGGGTGTTTAAAGAACAAGAATGAGGTGATACCGAAAAGGCACAAGAACACTTTATAAATTGGTATCACTAACCAAAGCTGTATGTGGGAAATAGTCGAATAAATCTGTGAAAGTCTTCCAAACATTAGCATTGCCATATCTGTGAAATTTAACTGCAGTCAATCTAAAGAGGTTTACTAATAATAGAAAAGAGAGAAGAAAGTGGCATATACATACACTTGTACTAAGAACCATTAAATTTTCAAAAAAAAAAAAGTACTAAGAACCATTAAAGATCAATTGAGTTTATCCAACAGCTTATACCAAGCAACATAAAGCATTCTTGCAGCATTTTAGCAATGAACTAAAGCATGTATAAATTTGACATATCTTATTTACCTACCTTATTGGAATATATATGCTCTAATGTTTAGAGACCTAATTCTTATTTGTTATACTTAAATCAAACTAACAATAATAAAGACTACTTGATTAATCATGTCTGACAGAAGATACATACACCAATTTTATGTCATAATGAATACTTCTAATTGCCAATTTCTATGTCATATGACGCAGCAATTCAAGAACAGGAAGCTTACAGCGTTACATTTAATTGTTGGGTTGGGCTTCCCTCCTATGTGGTAAATAGCTCATGTTTGGACCAAGCCAATTTGTATCCACTATATTTTGTTGGACTTCCTCTCATATTGAGCCCTAATTATTATTATTATATTTATATAATATAATAATATTTAATTAGGAATTTTGGATGAATTAGGAATTATGTTTGATGAGGCGGCAGCAGGAAAGGAAACAAATTTCCTTTTATTCATTCTCTAATCTTCAACATATATATATATATATATATATATATATATATATATATATATATATATATATATATATATATATATATATATATATATATATTTATATTTGTTCTTGGGAGAGGATGCGGCATTGAGAGCAGTAAAAGAAAAAGAAGGTTTCTTTTGTTTCATTCCCTTTTTTTGTTTTCGGCAGAATAGGTGAAGCAAAGAAAGAAAGGGAATTTTTTTTGGTTTGTTCTCTGTCGGCAGCGAGAAGAGGAGATCATTGCTGTGGGTTTGCCATATTCTTGGGTGGTTTCTTCATCAAATATTATTGGAGGTCAGCTTGTTTGTTCCAGGCATCTCTTGGGTATTCTCGTACTATTTGTATTCTTTTCATCTTGCTTGTGGTGGTTGAATATTTTAAGTACGAGTTGGTATTCTGTTTAGGCCTGTGGAATATAATAGAAGTCTTTGGCCTATAATTATTGCATTTGATGATTTGTGGATGTTTGGCTCGTGTGGTAGCCTGAAACTTTGTACCCAAGATTTATTATAGTGGATTATTTGGTTGGTGGTGGTCCCGTGGTTTTTTCCCCGATTTGGGGTTTTCCACGTAAATCGTGTGTTCTTGTGTTTGATATTTATTTTTGGGCTATTGTGTATCATCTTGTGTTTGTGCTCCTGTCGTTCTGTGATTTTTATTGTCGCAGGAAGTGGGATTTTCCCAACAAAGTGGTATCAGAGCCCTGGTTGTTGATTGGGTACATTTGACATGGAGACAAATATGAGTAATATGATACGATTGAATGGTAGAAATTATCACATTTAGAAGGCCAAGATGAAGGATCTCCTGTTTGTGAAGAAATTACATCTACCTGTGTTTGCAACTGCAAAGCCAGAAAGCATGTCAGACGAAGAGTGGGACTTTGAGCACCAACAAGTTTGTGGTTATATTCGCCAATGGGTTGAAGATAATGTTATGAATCACATTATCAACGAGACACATGCCAGAAGCCTGTGGGATAAACTTGAGACCCTGTATGCTTCCAAGACAGGCAATAACAAATTGTTTTTGCTAAAACAATTGATGAATCTAAGATTCAGGGAAGGTACGTTGATCAATGATCATGTCAATGATTTTCAGGGTGTTCTTGATCAGTTGTCTAGCATGGGCATCAAATTTGAGGATGAGGTACTTGATCTCTGGTTGCTTAACACTCTACCTGATTCTTGGGAAACACTTCGGGTTTCTTTGACCAATTCTGCTCCCAACGGTGTTGTGACCATGGAGTATGTCAAGAGTGGTATCTTGAATGAAGAGTCAAGAAGAAGATCTCAAGACACCTCCACTTCTCAGTCAGATATTTTGGTTACAAATGATAGGGGGAGAAACAAACAAAGGGGTCAGAAGGGTAGAGATAAAAGCAGAAGTAAGTCAAGGTCATGGCACAAGGATGTTGAATGTTATCATTGTGGCAAGAAGGGTCACATCAAGAAAAATTGCTTCAAGTTGAAAAGGGAACAGAAGCAAGACAAGAAAGATGATCACACAGAGAACCAGGTTGCAACAGTTAGAGCAGATTTGCTTCTTGCTTGTGATGAGAACGCCGTCAACGTTGCATGTCATGAGACAACTTGGATTGTAGATTCAGGCGCATTTTACCATGTTACACCAAGGAAGGAATTCTTTACTTCATATACTCCAGGTGACTTTGGAGAGCTAAGAATGGGTGATGATGGTCAGGTGAAGGTGATTGGTACCGGTACAGTTTGTCTTGAGACCAGCAATGGCACAAAGCTGGAACTTAAAAATGTAAAGCATGCACCGGGTATCAGACTGAATCTCATTTCTACAGGAAAACTCGATGATGATGGTTTCTGTTGTTTCTTTGGTGATGGACATTGGAAAATCACTAAAGGTTCGCTGGTTATTGCACGAGGTAACAAGTCTTCTAACTTGTACTCTTTACAAAGCTCTATTTCTGGTGATTCAGTGAATGTGGCAGCAAAAGAATGTGCATCAGAATTGTGGCATAAACGACTTGGCCACATGAGTGTGAAGGGGATTGATTACCTTGCCAAGAAGAAGAAGCTTTCAGGAGTAAAGGAAGCTAGATTGGACAGATGTGTTCATTGCCTGGCAGGGAAACAGAAAAGAGTTTCTTTTATGAGCAATTCTCCTTCGAAGAAGCCGGAGCCACTTGAGTTGATACATTCTGATGTGTGTGGACCAATGAAGGTTAGATCACTTGGAGGTGCATCTTACTTTGTGACCTTCATTGATGATTATTCTAGGAAACTCTGGGTTTACACTTTGAAGCACAAAAGTGATGTGTTTGGTGTGTTTAAAGAGTTTCATGCCCTTGTTGAGAGACAGACAAGGAAGAAATTGAAGTGCATCCGTACTGACAATGGCGGTGAGTATCGTGGCCCATTTGATGAGTATTGCAGAATGCACGGAATTAGACATCAGAAAACTCCTCCTAAAACTCCTCAGTTAAATGGCTTAGCAGAGAGGATGAACCGGACAATTATGGAGAGAGTCAGATGTATGCTTGATGACGCAAAGTTGCCTAGTTCTTTTTGGGCAGAGGCAGTTTCCACAGCTGTTCATGTTATCAACTTATCTCCCGTTATTGCTTTGAATAATGAAGTTCCTGATAAGGTTTGGTGTGGAAAGGAAGTTTCTTATGATCACCTCAGAGTCTTCGGTTGTAAGGCATTTGTGCATGTCCCAAGAGATGAAAGATCTAAGTTGGACTCGAAGACTAGACATTGCATTTTCATTGGTTATGGTCTTGATGAATTTGGCTACAAGCTGTATGATCCAGTTGAGAAGAAGCTTGTGAGAAGCCGTGATGTAGTGTTCTTTGAAGATCAAACCATTGAAGGTGTTGACAAAGTGAGAAAGCCAGAATCTCAAGATAGCGGAAGTTTGGTTGACTGTGAGCCAGTTTCCAGCGAAGATACACATGATGTTGATGAGGTTCAAGAGAATGGCCAGACCGGTGATCTTGTACTAGACAATCAGGAGGATGATACAGCTGATGTGGATGGTCATGTTGATGATGTTGTGCACCAGGAACAAGAAGTTCCTTCGTAGGTTCCAGTTGATCCTCCTAGAAGGTCTAACAGGGAACGGAGACCATCTACTCGTTACTCTTCCAGTCAGTATGTGTTATTAACTGATGGGGGAGAACCTGAGTTCTATGAAGAAGCTATGGAGAGTGAGCAAAAGAGACAATGGCTTGAGGCTATGCAGGATGAGATGAATTCCCTATATGCAAATGATACATTTGAGTTGGTAAGGGCACCAAAGAACAGGAAAGCTTTGAAGAACAGGTGGGTCTACAGATTGAAACATGAAGAGGGCACTTCAGTTCCACGATTCAAAGCTCGACTGGTGGTGAAAGGTTTTAGCCAGAAGAAAGGTATTGATTTTGATGAAATTTTCTCTCCTGTTGTGAAATTTTCATCCATTAGAGTTGTGTTGGGAATAGCAGCTCGTTTGGATTTAGAAATTGAGCAGATGGATGTAAAGACAGCTTTTCTCCATGGTGATTTAGATGAGGAGATATATATGGAGCAACCTGAGGGATTCGAAGTCAAAGGGAAAGAGGATTATGTTTGCAGATTAAAGAAGAGTTTGTATGGATTGAAGCAAGCTCCGAGGCAGTGGTATAAAAAGTTTACTTCTGTTATGAGTAAGCATGGGTACAAGAAGACTTCTTCAGACCACTGTGTTTTTGTAAACAGATTATCTGATGATGACTTTGTTATATTGTTGCTTTATGTTGATGATATGTTGATTGTTGGTCGCAATGTTTCAAGAATTCAACAGTTGAAACAAGAGTTGAGTAAGTCCTTTTCTATGAAGGACATGGGACCAGCAAAGCAAATTCTTGGGATGAAGATCATTCGTGACAGGCAGAACAAGAAGTTGTGGTTATCTCAAGAGAAGTATATAGAGAAAGTACTTGAGAGATTTAGTATGGATAAAGCTAAGCCAGTGAATACACCTCTTGGTATGCATTTCAAGTTAAGTAAGAAGCAATGTGCCTCTAGTGAGAAAGAGAATGAAGAAATGCAAAGAGTTCCCTATTCTTCAGCTGTTGGTAGTTTGATGTATGCCATGGTATGTACTAGACCAGATATTGCTCATGCAGTGGGTGTTGTTAGCAGATTTCTCTCAAACCCAGGGAGAGAACATTGGGATGCTATGAAGTGGGTTCTTAGATATCTTCGGGGTACTTCAAACCTGAGTTTGTGTTTTGGTACAGATAAACCTATTCTTGCCGGATACACTGATTCAGATATGGCCGGAGACATTGACACCAGGAAATCTACTTCAGGTTATCTAATTACCTATGCAGGGGGAGCAGTTTCATGGCAATCAAGATTGCAAAAGTGTGTTGCTTTGTCTACCACTGAAGCTGAGTTCATAGCATCTGTTGAGGCCAGTAAAGAAATGCTATGGATGAAGAAGTTTGTTCAGGAACTCGGGTTTGTTCAAGACAGGTATGTGCTCTATTGTGATAGTCAAAGTGCAGTTCATCTTGCAAAGAACTCAACGTTCCATTACAGGTCAAAACATATTGACACGAGATATCATTGGATTAGAGATATCTTAGAGTGCAAGATGCTTGAACTTGAAAAGATTCATACCGATGATAATGGGTCTGACATGATGACTAAAGCATTGCCAAGAGGGAAGTTTGAGGATTGTTGCTCAATCGCCGGGATGGCGATATCTTCCACATAGTCGGGAGGGGGAGATTTGTTGGGTTGGGCTTCCCTCCTATGTGGTAAATAGCTCATGTTTGGACCAAGCCAATTTGTATCCACTATATTTTGTTGGACTTCCTCTCATATTGAGCCCTAATTATTATTATTATATTTATATAATATAATAATATTTAATTAGGAATTTTGGATGAATTAGGAATTATGTTTGATGAGGCGGCAGCAGGAAAGGAAACAAATTTCCTTTTATTCATTCTCTAATCTTCAACATATATATATATATATATATATATATATATATATATATATATATATTTATTTATTTATTTATTTATTTATATTTGTTCTTGGGAGAGGATGCGGCATTGAGAGCAGTAAAAGAAAAAGAAGGTTTCTTTTGTTTCATTCCCTTTTTTTGTTTTCGGCAGAATAGGTGAAGCAAAGAAAGAAAGGGAATTTTTTTTGGTTTGTTCTCTGTCGGCAGCGAGAAGAGGAGATCATTGCTGTGGGTTTGCCATATTCTTGGGTGGTTTCTTCATCAAATATTATTGGAGGCCAGCTTGTTTGTTCCAGGCATCTCTTGGGTATTCTCGTACTATTTGTATTCTTTTCATCTTGCTTGTGGTGGTTGAATATTTTAAGTACGAGTTGGTATTCTATTTAGGCCTGTGGAATATAATAGAAGTCTTTGGCCTATAATTATTGCATTTGATGATTTGTGGATGTTTGGCTCGTGTGGTAGCCTGAAACTTTGTACCCAAGATTTATTATAGTGGATTATTTGGTTGGTGGTGGTCCCGTGGTTTTTTCCCCGATTTGGGGTTTTCCACGTAAATCGTGTGTTCTTGTGTTTGATATTTATTTTTGGGCTATTGTGTATCATCTTGTGTCTGTGCTCCTGTCGTTCTGTGATTTTTATTGTCGCAGGAAGTGGGATTTTCCCAACATTAATAAAGAAGTTAATACATACTAAAGAAAGAAGGAAATTACCAGTTATTCTCTTGCTCATAGTAGCATTCGCAAACAGTTTTAGCTCCACTTCCAACAGCAAACCTATTTTCTGCAAGTAGAGAACATCAATAGAAAAGTGAAATTTTTTTGTTAATTCCAAGTAAAGAAGATATCATGCATCACAAGAAAGTTATAAATTATCATAAATAACAATATTATGAATTTATTCCAGTGATAAGTGGACCATGGAACAGAAGGAAGGATAATTAGAGCTTATTGGGTCCTTGGAAGGATGGAGTGTGTGGCATACACTATCTAGAGTATTAAATATATTGTCACAACACTCAAAAGTAGTAATTCACTCAGAGGAAGGATAGATGCCAACAGAATCACAGAAGAAGCAATCTTCAAGAAAAACAATAAGTAAAAACAGATTAATAAAATAAAGAGAGTAGAGGTTTCAAATTTTAAATTAAGAAGCAGTAGCACGTAGTAGAACAAAAAGGCATACAAAACACAATGATTACTTGATAAAATTACTAAAATTTCTGCATACCCTTGTATAAATTCATTAATCAGTGGCCACAACTCCTCATCCCTCAATTTATTTATCGTTATAGAGATCTTATCAACAACCTGAATTGCAATTTTAATTTTTGATGAAAGGCTCCTAACCAGATTTCTTGTCACATCAATTTTGTGTGCCTCAGCACCCTTTTCATCTAGCCACTTCAGTTTTTTACTTCTCCTCTCGTGGTGTACTCTCATTCTCTCCTCAGCCTGCAAAGTGTGAGTAAAGAAGACATCTCTATTACACAAGTCAAAGAGTGAGAAAAGATATACTGTTGATATGCACAATAGCAAAAGAGTGAAAGAGAAGATGAGAGTTTAAAATGCATCTGTATATAGCATTTTTAATTTTTAAAAGAAACGGTTTCATGACAAAACTGGCCAGGAACTTACTAGCAAGCTGCAAAGTTTCATTACAAAGCTCATCCCTTAGCTATTAGAAAATTAACGAAATAGTCAGACATTTTAAATATCAATTCAGATCAATTATTCCAATACCAAAAAGATAAATTAAAAGAGAGATGTGCCAACTTCCCACTGTAAGATGATCCAAGAATGATAGTTTACAAGAACACTTATAGTTTCTCCTAAATTTCCATGAATGTGCTCAGAGACATTAACATACACTCATACAACCAGGGAATCATGCAAATCAACAATGCAATAGAAAAGCTTACAACTCTGCAAAAATCCCAATTAGTACAAACAATAGAAATTTCAACTTGTAGATCTAACCTGAAGAAGCGATGTAGTACTAGGGTTTCGGGTGGTAGCACGTGAGGGTTACACTTTAACAACAATAGAAGATTAAAGTAGAAAGTATAAAATTAGAAGTACTTACCTTCGTTCACAGGGGAGACTAAATTTAGAGTCAGAAACTTCGTCGTCGGCAGGGGCGGAGACCGGGCAGTAGCTTCGTCTTCGGCAAGGTCGGAGGCGGAGACCGGGTAGTAGCTTCGTCGTCGGCAAGGTCGGAGGCGGAGACCGGAGAGGAGATGCGGAGTCTTCCGGTGTCGTCGGCAGCAGCTTTGCGGTTGGAACTCGGCATGGAGGAGCTGTCATCTTCGTCTCTCAAGGAAGAGCTATCGGCTGAGTTGGGAGAAGCAATAAAAGGCCAGAGAATTAGGGATTAGGTATTTGGGGGGCTTGGGTTTGAAATTTAACTTTTAATTATTAAAGGCTGATATTTGGCGGTAGTCTTGGACGGGAGAAAAAGTTTTCGAGACTTCAACTGAGAAAAAAAAAAAAGAAAAGGTTAAAATATTTAAATTTCCGTCCAATAACATGTTGGACGGAAATTAAAATACGTACCATTTTTAATTTCTACCTATTAGACAATTTGAGTTTACCAACCAACACTATATGTTGGACAGAATTTCCTTCCAACGCTGGATATTGAACGGAATTTCCGTCCAACGCTCGAAGGTTGGACGGAACTTCTGACCAACTTTTCGTCCATCCTTCTTTAGCGACAGAAATTTGAAATTTTTATTAAAATACCGACCAACTTACGGTTGGACGGAAATGTTGGACGGAAATAGCGAGATTTCCAACAGTGAATATAATGAAGGTGAGAATCAATATTCTAATTTATTTATTTTTTGTCTATGACAAGGAAAACTCACAATCATTATCTAAAGGTATGTATTGGACAAAATCACGTACTTCTACATATTAATTAGTTCGTAAACTACACAAAAGAGGTAAACTGCACTACACAGAAGAGCTCATGGAAGAGTTGTAAGCACAGAGGAAGGTGAACAGTTCGGCAAGGAACATGGATTGATATTTATGGAGGCTTCTGCCAAAACAGCACAGAATGTGGAGGAGGTGAATGAAGTCTTTTACACAGATACCGGTAGTTTTTGAACTTATTATCATAAGATTCATTTATGCTACTGTTTATGTTCATGCCAAACTGAATTTTGGATGCATTGGTTTTGTTTTTATTGTCTTCTTGCAGGCATTTATCAGAACATCTTCAACAATATAATAAGAAAATACAGGATGGAGTATTTGACATTTCAATTCACATATGTATACCTCAATATATTGTATTGTGGTTATGTTGAGTACTTATATATTTACTAACTTTTGACATGTAATTCCAATAAGTTGATTATGACAAAACGGTTATTGATCTGGTGCGTTATGAATGGGCAAATAGTGTATCAAGTTATATAGAGTAGGTATTGTTTTGATGATTAGAACTTTGTGAACATTTAGATTTGGTGCTTGGAATTGTTTTTTGAAGTATTTTGACTTGGTGATTGGAATTGGTCATTGAAATATTTAGACTTGCTAATTAGTTTTTGTGTATTTTGAACCTGGTGTATTTTGAACATTGGGAACACTTTGTGTTTTGAACATTGTGTATCTAGACTTGGTAATTAGTTTTTGTGTGTTTTGAACATTGGGAACACTTTGTGTTTTGAACATTGTGTATCTAGACTTTGGATAAATTGTTTTTATTATATGATTATATTTAAAATCTAAACAGGTTAAAAACAACGGTTTAAAACCGTTGCCTTTGATATATAAGACAACGGTTAAAAACCGTTGTCTATTCTTGAAATTATCGAGAATACAGTAAGTTTCTACAACACACAATAGTTTAATCGTTGTCTTTTCTCGTCTTTTCTAGAGAAAAGACAACAGTTAAAAAATCGTTGTCTATTTGCGTGACTTTTAACAACACCGATTTCAACAACACCCAATAAACAACGATTTTTAACCGTTGTCTTTTATAGAAAAGACAACGGTTAAAAACCGTTGTCTATGTGTGTGACTTTTAACAGCATTCAATAGACAACAGTTAAAAATCGTTGTCTATGTGCGTGACTTTTAACAACACCAATTTCAACAACACTCAATAGACAACGGTTTTTAACCGTTGTCGTTTTTAGAAAAGACAACGGTTAAAAACCGTTATCTATGTGCGTGACTTTTAACAATACCCGGTTTCAACAACACTCAATAGACAACGGTTTTTAACCGTTGTCTTTTTAAACCGTTGTAGTTTCTAGAAAAGACAACGGTTAAAAACCGTTGTCTATGCGCGCGCGGGACTTAACCGTTGTCATTTTTCTTGTAGTGAGAGTATTGATAAGAGTTGAACTAGTAATATTTAGGTACGAGAATTATACATCACTCACTCAATCACCCTTTTCCGGACAAATAATCACTCTTCCTCTTGCCTTAAGAGTTGGGTAATACTTCTCTTTTTGATAAAGTAATTGCCTTAAAACAAAATTAGTGCTATATTAGAAGCAACCAATCTTTGTAATTATGTTGCAAACATAGAATGGAAAAATATAGAGAGAAGCTAAGATGAAAGATCATTTTCCATTCAATAGTTATTTTGTCCAAATTTTTGAATAAATTTGTAATGATTACTCTCAATTATTCTAAATCGTTGTGATTTTGTCTCCTTGGCTAAGTGTAACTAAACTCATTTAAAATGAATTAATTATCATGGATGAACAAATATCTCTCCCAATTATTTCAGATTGTTAAGATTTTGTCTCATTTGTTAATAGTGTAAATAAACTTTTATTAAAGATGATAATATTTGTGTAATTCCCACTTAAATCTTACTCCCAATTATTTCACATCCTTGTGATTTTGTGTAATTTTCAAGATTAAACGGCATTATTTGTGTAATTTTCAAGATTAAGCGGCATTATTTGTGTAATTTTCACTTAATTTGTCATTCCCAATTATTTTAGATCTTTGCAATTTTGCCCCATTGGTTAATTGTGACGAAGCTCTATTAAATATGAGGTCATTAGTGTAATTTCCCACGTTAAGGGGTGGTATGAAGGTAAAGGAGCTGGAAAAGAAAAACGCCCACCGTGGGGCTCGAACCCACGACCACAAGGTTAAGAGCCTTGCGCTCTACCAACTGAGCTAGACGGGCTTGTGATTCAAAATTTATATATTAAACCTATTATCTTTACAGAGATTGGATTAGTTAATAAGCATTTTTATCTTTTCCCAATTCCCAACTAGCCTAACTGCAATCCCACCTTTGCTTTCCTCAAGCTATACCATAAAACCTCAAACATCCATAACAATGGATCAACACGGTAATATTTAAATAAAAAAACATGCATTAAATACTGACTTCGTTTGACTGACATCATTAATAGGATAATATTTACGGAGTATTATTTACGGTTAGGGTTTTAAGTTTATTCTCACAAAGCATGTGGTCGTTAATGTTTGTTTAAAACGAAGTGCAACATAATAAAAATTTAAAAAAAGAGAATTTTACTATTCTATTGAAAGTAAACACTCGACCACATTCAACATTTACTAGTAGAGCATGAATTAGTCATAGTGACGGTTTCCTCGTATGATAGTGATGATATATTCATTTGACGGTGTTTCCTGAAGAATCAAATCACTCGAAGAATTAGAGAATGTTGTGTTCGATAAACAGAGTATTAGATGATGGTATGTTCGACTAGAGATTGATTAGACGATGGTGTTTGTTCAAATAGCTAAAGAATTGAAGTTACAAGTTTTTACAAGTGTAAGTAAATCATTAGTTTGAACTTATAATAAAAGGGTCTTATTGCTGGCCAAAAGTACGTGATTAGGCATATAATATTTGTATCTCATTGCTTTTCGTATTATTATTATCACCAATGCTGCAACTTAATGATGAGTCATATAAAATGGGATAGGGGGATATACACATATGGGAGGTAGCATTAGAGTTTACATTTGATAGATAATCACAATTCCAATAGCGGATTCTACGAGTGCCCAATAAACACTCAAGTTTTCAATTGGATAAAGCGTGTTATAGTTAAACCGTTAGATATGGTGAGGTGGGAGGTAAAATTAGAATTTAATTTACATTTGATAAATATTCACAAATTTAATAGTCTTCTATATGAGTACCTAACAAACACTAAAGTTTTCAATTAAATAAAGTTCGCTCGTGGTCAAATGGATTATAAAATTAGAGTTTAGGTTCGATGAGTATTCACAACTTCAATAGTCTTCTACGAGTGCCCAACATGTTTTCAAATGATAATCTAAGACCATGGACGGAGCGATAGGGGACAACTGCCCCCCTCATCCCACTCAATTCCCACTCCATATATAATCTTTGTATGTATATACATATATATATATATATATATATATATATATATATATATATATATATATATATATATATATATTACAAGTTTTAGTATTAGTATTAAAAACAGAAGGACATTAATAAGAAGTGAGTTTGATTAGTTGGCAAATTATGTGCTTAGTTATTGTGAAAGTCATGGGTTCAAATCTTGGCATTAACACATTTTCATAGTTTTATATTAATAATGAAATGTGTAGTTTATAATGTGTTTTTTATTCAAATTATTTTATCAAATTAATTATGTTTCATATTTTGTTATGAATATTTTTATAAAGTTTTGATGGGTTTTATTTTCTACGCATATCCAACAATATGTATACCTATATTTCTTAGATTTTTTTTTTTAAATTATCTCTTTTGTTTTAACGTTTCGCCTTCACTGAAAAAAATTTCTGGATCCGTCCCTGCTTCTTCGCCCCCCTCAACGAAATTCCTGGCTCCGTCCCTAGCTAAGGGGCGCTTGTGGTCAAATGAAAAGAGATGGGGTGTGAACAAACACTCAAGTTTTCAATCAATTGATAAAGTGCTTGGGGTTAGATGGAACGAGATGTGATGTAGCATTAAAGTTTACGACACTTGTTAGATATTCACAACTCCAATAGTCTTGTATGAGTGCCTAACAAACACCCAAATATATATATATATATATATATATATATATATATATATATATATATATTGAAATTCTTATGATTCTTTACAAAGTAGTATTTATTCTATACTTTCTTAAAGATTTTCAGCCCACAGAATCGTCTAAGCCCCCATCACCGAGGTTCAAAACTTTGACCATCTACTTAAATGGATAACCGGGATGCCATCACACTACATGGTAGTTGGCAACACCAAATATTTAATTGTTGACCAAGAAATACTGAAGTCTTCCATTAGTACGTGTTACATGTGATATGATGTGAAATAGCTAGCCTTAGAGTTTGACATTATTTAATTTGATAGATATTTACAACTTCACAGAGCCCCACTGGCTCTAGTTTAGTATCCAATCAGATGACCATGACCAAGTTTTAGTCGTCGAACATTATTGTTTTTTTTTTTTTTTATATATCTCTATAACGTGGCAAAATCATTATGAATTTATACCATACATTTCTGAGGATATTTCGTATCACCATTGCTCTCAATTTGCATACGATGTTGAAGCTAAGTTTATCATTCTCTTCTCTGCTTTTATTATTACTCTACTTCATAATTGTTTGCTCCGGCATGAACACTACTACTGATGAATCCTCTCTTCTTGCATTGAAATCAAGCATTAACATCAACTCTCATCATACCATAATGGCCAACTGGTCTAATGCTTCCTCTGTGTGTGAGTGGAAGGGAGTTACATGTGGTCGTCGTAATCGACGAGTGATTGCTTTAGACATCTCCCAAATGGGCCTTTCTGGAACCATTCCTCCACAATTTGGAAACCTTTCATTTCTTGTTTCCCTGAATATGAGTGGCAATAGTTTTATTGGGAATCTACCTGATGACTTATCTCATTTGCGTCGATTGAGAGTCTTTGATGTTAGTGCCAACAATCTCACTGGAGAAATCCCTTCACATATTGGGTTCTTGTCCAATCTTCAAATATTGATTCTTGACCATAATCTCTTCATCGGATCTATCCCTCTTTCCTTTCTAAACCTGTCAAAGCTACAAACCGTGGACTTGAGTGTTAATAAATTCAATGGCTCTATCACATCTACAATCTTCAATGTTTCCTCATTGGAAAGTTTAAGAATCATAGAAAATCATTTCACCGGTACCATTCCCGTAGATTTGTGTCTTCGACTTATAAATCTGATAAGGCTCGACGTAACCAGTAACATTTTAAGCGGGGAAGTGCCAAAGGGTTTATCCATGTGTTCCAAAGTAAGATATTTGGGGTTGAATTATAACGGCTTTGTGGGAACAATACCACCTGAACTTGGGAACTTAACAAGTCTTAAAATCCTTCGTCTTGGAGGTAACAACCTTGAAGGTACGACATAATCCCTAATTCTTTGCTTACGTAATTGCTATTCCCTTTGAGAGTTTCATGATATATTGTTGAGGAAATTTCAATTTTGGTCATATGACTATAGGGGTATTGTTAATTTCAGCTCCTGACTTTTAAAAGTGTTAATTTAGTACCTTAACTATGCAAATTTTGTCAATTTTGGTCATTCCGGCCAAAGTGCCGGCCAAATTTCGCCGGAAAATTTTAACAGTTAAAATAATGAGGGTATTTTGGTCATTTCAAGCCTCTTTTCTTCTTCTCCGGCGAGTCCATCCGTTTCTCTCCCGTTTCCGGCGTTCTTTCTCCCTGTAAACCATATCTTTAACATCATCAAGCCTCCTTTCCGCATCAACTTAGTTCATTGCATTCGCTAGAAACGGGAGAGGAAGGGATGTACTCGCCTAAAAAGAAGAAAAGAGACGTGAAATGACCAGAATACCCTCATTATTTTAACAATTAAAATTTTCCGGCGAAATTTGGCCGGCAATTTGACCGGAGTGACCAAAATTGACAAAAATTACATAGTTAAGGTACTAAATTGATACTTTTAAAAGTCAGGGACTGAAAATTAACAAGACCCTATAGTCATATGACTAAAATTAAAATTTCCTCTATATTGTTGATCGAATATAATGGGACACAGAGGTAGCTTATTCCTACTACTTATATGTTTATTGAACTTAAATTGTATTTCACATTTATCATGGTTGAAAAAATCGCTAGGCGTTCTTCGGGTAATCGAGGACACCTAGCACCTAGGGCACCTAGGCGGCGATTAATCAGCGGCTAGACACCCGTGTATCTTGTATTTTTTTAAAATTTGTTTAAAAATTTTTAAGACCCTTGATAATTATAAACTATTTAATACTTTAATAGTTAATACTAAAATATTAAATATTAATCTAAAAAACATCTAGAGTTTAAACAATTTACGGTTATTTGGCTCAAAATGATGTCATTTTGAGTGAAATAACTAATTTAAAAAATAAAAAAAAGAGAAAGGAACAATAGCTAATCAGCCGACTAGGCGACCTAGTCAGTGCTTAGGAGGCCTAGTCAAGCACCTAGGAAGCCTGACAGTCAGCGCCTAAGCGGTGCTTAGACGGCCTAATCCTCCGCCTAGCCGCCAACCGTCTAAACCACCGTTTATGGTGATACGCTAGGCGGCTGGCCAATGCCTAGCGCCTAGGCGCCGATTAATGAGTGTTTAAGCAGGACTTTTACAATTTCTAAACATGTTAAACATGTGTGGTAGTAGTAAGCCCGATTAATCAGTGCGAAGGACTTTGGATTTTAGTTTCATTTTTCACGCGCACTAGTAGTTTTATTATAGCAACACTAGAGTATCATTTTAACTAGGAATAAGGGTCAAATAGGCCACTGAACTGCACGTCAAAGTGCAATTAGGCCATCGAACTAAAAAACAATGCAATTGTATCCCTGAACCACACAAAATCATGCAATTAGGTCCAAAATGACTTGTTTACCTGAAATGCAGGTTTTTCCAATTTTAAAAATAATTTTTAAATATATTTTAAAATAAAATAATTAATTAACATTATATAATTAAAAAAAAAAAAACTAAAACTGCCGGAGACGATTCTTCGTCTCCATGGCCGGAGACGAAAGCTTCGTCTCCGGCCATGGAGACGAAGACTGCGTTTCGTCTCCGGCCATGGAGACGAAGACTGCGGGAGACGATTCGCCTCCGGCAGTTCTAGTTTTTTATTTATTTTATTTATTTTTATTTTTTTATTTTAATTAATTATTTTATTTAAAATTATATTTAAATTTCATTTTGAAAATCAGTAACCACCACGTCAGCACAATTTCAGGTCAACAGGTCATTTTAGACCTAATTGCATGATTTTGTGTAGTTTAGGGACCCAATTGCATTGTTTTTGAGTTTGATGGCCTAATTGCACTTTGATGTGCAGTTCGGTGACCTATTTGACCCTTATTCCTTTTAACTATACTACAGTTTCATTTGATAATAATGTGCTCTGTTTTTAGTTTCATTTTACACACATGTTAGTTTCATTATAGCGATACTAAAGTATTATTTTAATTTTACTACAGTTTCATTCGACGATCATGTTCCATATGTTGTGTGGACCATGGTCCACTGTATAACAATTGAGCTAATACTTGTAAATTTTTTACTCTCTCAAATTGCAATATAATACATGAATAGCTAGTTGGACAAGATATATCGCCTTCAGTCACGTTCTACTTATCCTCAATAATCTCTTTTATAAAACAAGTTCTCTAATCTAATACCCAACCGTCTTGATGAAAATTCAATTTCTTTTTATTGTGAAGATTAAAAAATGTTTCAACCAAAATCTCAAAAATTGATATAATTTGTTTTCTCGATCAGGAAAAATTCCTAAAGAAATTGGTTGTCTACACAACTTGGAGCAATTAGAAATGGAAAACAATCACTTAACGGGCTTACTACTACCACACATGTTTAACATGTCTTCACTGCAATGGTTGAACTTGAACACCAACAACATATCAGGTAATTAGCTATTCAATATTAACATTTGAGTTAATTTCCAAAATAGTTCTTCGACTATGACTTTTTCTCAAATTGGTTCATTGACTTTTAATTGCATCTTAAGTGGTCTTTTAATTATTAAATTTTAAGTTAAAATGGTCATCTGTTAGTTTTGGTGTTAAGTGGATGTTTAAATGAGGGGTAAAACTAGTAATTCAGTGTTTTACTATAGTCAGAGAACTACTTTAGGTGCAATTAAAAGTCAAAGGACCAATTTGAACTATCTAGTATCTAGTTAATATTTTAAAAGAAAATTTCATTTTTATGAACTATCTAGTTAATATAATCTAAAAGTTTCAATTGTGTATTATCGTATTTAAATTAATATAAAATACTTAAAGTTGATCTAATTAAATTAAAAAGTATTTATGAATATAATATTAATAGCGATGATATATAATTTATTCCAACCATTTCATATTTTATTTTATTATAAATATTCTTTTATCATGTTTTGAAGTTTTTTTTTTCGCCTCCACTACCAACATTTTTTGTTCTGCCCCTATAAACCAATATTGTATTTTTGTAATAGACCATGATTTTTTTTAATTATCTTTCTTATCCGTTTGTATTTAATTGTTGTATTTTTTTTCTTTTTTAATAAGCAATAATGGTTTATGTCTGTTGTCCATTTGGTTGTAATTTTTCACAATAGTTTTGTCATTATATGTATGCCTATTTATGATCATAGAAAATCAAAATCCAAATACATAATGTCAAGTATTCTTGAATAATAAAGAGTTAATCCAAAGTTAATGTTAATTTGTACAACTATATATAAGTACTAGACTAATTAATAATCAACATTACTATTCTAAGTTATTTTTTTAAAAAAATAATTTTCTAGCTAAAAATTAAAATAAAAAGATTGTTTATTTAGAAAATGAAAATAAGTATAAGATCAACCCCTTTTAATCAAAATGAGTACAAATCATGTTTGAACTATAAAGAGAAAATTCATAAAATGGTCCTCCGACTATGGTCTTTTCTCAAATTGGTCCTTTGACTTTTAATTGCACCCAAAAGTCCTTTGACTATAGTGAAAACCCTAAATTACCAATTTTACCCCTCATTTTAACACCACTTAACACCAAAACTAACGGATGAATATTTTGGCTTAAAATTCAATAGTCGGAGGACCACTTTGGGTACAATTAAAAGTGGGAAAATTGTAAATAATGCCCCTCTATAATATGCCAATTATCAATGTCACCCCTGAATTATAAGTGGTGTAAATGTTGTCCCTCAATTATCAAAATGGTGCACATATAGCCCCTCCCGTAACGAACATGTGATTCCTCACCGCTGTCCATCGCTAGTACTTCGAATCGAAGGAGGGAAAAAATAACTAAATTACATATTTACTTCGACTTAATAGTGTCGTACACTAACGGGGAACCACATGTCTGTTACGGGAGGGGCTATATGTGTACCGTTTTGATAATTGAGGGGCAACATTTACATCAGTCATAATTCAGGGGTGACATTGATAATTGGCATATTATAGAGGGGCATTTTTTACAATTTTCCCATTAAAAGTCAAGGAACCAATTTGAGAAAAGACCATAGTTGGAGGACCATTTTGGGAATTAACTCTTAATATTTTAATTTGCTTTTTTATTGGATAATTGGACTATGCTAGCTAATTCTCATTCTATGTACGAAAAATGTGTATATTTTCCATTTCATATCTATATTTAGATCAGCTATATGGAACCGAATCAATCGATTATGTCCAAATTGATTAGTATAAGAACGAAAATTAATCCTAGGCGATCTTCATTAATTAGTTCAAGCTAAGTCCGTATAATTTTCGAAGCAATTTTTTTTTTAAAAAAATTGGAAATAATATTACCCTATTATATAGTTTCGGTTCTACTTCAAAAATTAAGTGCACAAAAATATTGTTATTAGAAAATTGCATAATGGATTGTCACTACTATTTTCCTCACACACTAGAAATTCATATACTCCTTGGGTATAGGTACTTGGGTCTTAGTGCTAGAAAACTTCTAAGAAAGAATGATAGGATGAATCTCATTTAAGTACTAATCTCACATAAAAACAACTATAGTACATATAATATGATAACATTCTTTCTATGTTGGACTTACTCACTTACTACACCTTCCCACAATGTGTTTTCTCTAGCAATTCAAGTACCTTAAAATTAAAAATGACAATCATATATTTGGTCAAATTACTTGTAAAACTACCACATCAACATGATGCGTTTTCTCTAGCTAGCACAATAACAAATGTCAATCATATATTTGGTCAAAGTACTACTTGTAAAACTACCACGTCCATTAACTACTTGTATTACTCTGCAAAATATAATAAGTAATTAAAGACCATCTTAGAACAAGAGATATAGAGAATTATGTTAATTTTTATTTAACAAAAATTTCGATACAATTTAAAATAAATTTCAATTAAAAAATTTATTTGTATTGAGTCTAGAAGAGGAGAGGGCCGGGAGAGGGGTGTTTAATAGACTTAAAAAAAAACATCTTTTGAAACTTTTATAAGTTTGCGAGTTTTACTACTAAAGTCTAAAACTTGCCAAGTTTTGTTTCTTGCTAGATTTGATTTGAATGAGTGAGTGTAATGTGTGTAGTATGGATCGTTAGATGGATAAATATAGCATAAAGTAAAAAAAGAGAGAGAATTATAATGGTTCAGGTAATTTCTTATTCCGATTGTCTCCTTAACACAAAGAGGGATTCCACTATGTATTCTAAGAACAAATACAAGTGAATGAAGCCTGTCACAACACAATGCTACTTGTTTCTTCCGATGACTATCCTTGAATATATGTCACGAGCTTCTCGTCAACCTATTCTTCATCGTCTGATCAATCTTCACTAAGGTCAGCCACCAAGTCGTCAGGCTCAGATGATCATCCATAACACCCTTCAAAGAAAGATATGGTTTTGAGATAATTAGAATCTAAATGGTTCTTTTGGCTAAGGATGCTGAATATTCTTTGAAAGCTTTTGAATCTCTCTTGTAATCTCTAGAACATGTAAGATCAACACTTTGTTTTAAGTTTGTGGTTCTCTTTTTATAGATGTAGGGAGTTGAATCTTGATTTAAAATCAATATATGTTGTTGTCACTCAAGTAAGTGGTAGCTTTCCAAAATGTGCCACATTCTTTAATTTAGGCTACCATAACAGTCTGCTTGGACGATCGAAATCATTATAAACAACAAGATCGAGCTAGATCAACAATACACAATGGTACATCCCATATGGGAGAGTTACTACATGACATCTGAGCACAAGGTGCTTGACGAACCTAATTATCTTCCAACACCTTTCCAAGAAAGTGATAATTTTAATATAGCGTTGGAGTATTAGAATATCGATGATTCTTTTGGCGGCTTAGAACACTTAATATCGCTTGAGAGCTTTTGAATCTCTCTTATAATATTATGAAATGTAAGATCAGCTATACATGTTGGACAAACACCTTCACTCTATGTTGGACTTACACCTTCGCAGAGTGCATGTTCTCTAGCTAATACCATAACAAATGACAATCATATTTCACTCTAATCTATTTGCACTTTATTAGTTAAGATGCATAGGGATAATGAATGAATCTTACATGTAGATTTTTTTAAAAAAAATTTCACAGTGGACAATGTGAACAGTGATTAGCAGTATATCATATTACTATGAATGATTTAGATGGAAGGCTTCATGTTTTCATGATATATTAAAGAATTTGTGTTTTTTTTTTCTTGTACAATTTGGTAGGTACAATACCTCGAGAAATGAGCAATCTTGAAAAGTTGGAGTACCTTCTTTTACAATTTAACTCTCTTAGTGGTTCCATACCACGAGGTATATTCAATATCTCTAGCCTATTTGAACTAGATCTTGGGTTCAATTTTCTTTCAGGTAGCCTTCCCCCAAAAATGGGCTATAAGCTTCAAAATATCATATCAATTGGCCTCAATCTTAATAACCTTAGTGGAGCTATTCCAAGCTATATCTCAAATTGCTCTGAACTAGAAGTCCTATACCTCGAAAGTAACAGTTTTAGTGGCCCAATTCCTAATTCTTTGGGAGAGTTAAAATTTTTGGAGAAATTAATGATATTCAATAACAGGTTGACAAGTGAATCCTCTTCTACAAAGGTCAATTTTATGACTTCATTGGCAAATTGTAGATACTTGAGAACACTATCGATATCTAATAATCCTTTGAGTATTGTCCTACCAAGTTCCTTTGGTAATCTCTCCAACTCCCTTGAGCTCTTCAATGCATTTGGTTGTAATATAAAGGGCAAAATTTCAAATGAAGTTGGTAATTTAAGTAGTCTCATGGGACTAGACTTATCCCAAAATGAATTGACCGGAGTTGTTCCTAGAGGTATAAGAGGTCTAAACCAACTTCAAAGGTTGAACCTTGTAAAAAATAAACTAAGTGGGTGTTTGCCAACTAGCATTTGTAATTTGAAATACTTGGACAGTTTGTATTTAAGTGAAAATCAAATTTGGGGTTCTATTCCTGAGTGCATGGGGAATGCTACTTCTTTAAGAGAGATATATCTACCCTATAACAGATTGAGTTTTAACATACCATCAGGCCTCTGGAATCTTAAGGACCTCTTGAAACTTGACTTATCTTCAAATTTCTTGAATGGCTCTTTACATCCAGAGATTGGAAACATGAAAGTTGCAATATACATCAATCTATCAATGAATCATTTTTCTGGCAATATTCCAACTACCATTGGAGGATTGCAAACTTTGACAAACTTTTCTTTAGCTAATAATCTTCTACAAGGATCTATCCCTGATTCTTTTGGAAGCATGATTAGTTTGGAATACTTGGATTTGTCAAATAACAATCTGACAGGAGGGATTCCTAGGTCTTTAGAGAAGCTCTACTATCTCAAAGGTTTCAATGTATCTTTCAATAGGTTAAGTGGGGAAATCCCCAGCAAAGGCCAATTTGTAAATTTCACTTATCAATCTTTTCTGTCCAATGAAGATTTGTGTGGTTCTCCAAGGCTAAAAGTGCCAGCTTGCAATGTTCATTCTAATTCTCATCCATTAATAAGGAGAACACTTTGGATTGTTTTCATCTCTGTGGCTATGTTGATAGTGGGAATCTCAGTGATTATACTTTTATTATGGAAATGCAAAATAAAAAATTTCACAACCAATGAGGTTAACTCTTTACAAAAAATAGTGCCATTGAGAATTTCATACTACGAACTTCAAAGAGCAACTCAAGGGTTTAGTAGTAATAACTTTCTAGGGGCCGGAAGTTTTGGTTCTGTTTACAAGGGCACATTTGGAAATGGGTTACTCTTTGCCATCAAGGTCTTTAATTTGCAAGTTGAAGATGCATTCAAGAGTTTTGCTACTGAATGTGAAGTTTTCCGCAATCTCCGTCACAGAAATCTCATGAAGGTGATAAGTGCTTGCTCTAATATGGATTTTAAAGCACTCATACTTGAGTACATGCCTAATGGTAGTTTAGACAGTTGGTTGTACTCTGATGATAGGCAATCTTTGCACATCATGCAAAGCTTAAACATAATGATTGATGTGGCATGTGCATTAGAGTATTTGCACTATGGTTACTCAAGTCCAATTGCTCATTGTGATTTAAAGCCAACCAATATTTTAATTGATGAAGATATGGTGGGACATGTAAGTGACTTTGGCATTGCGAAGTTGCTTGGAGACGATGAATCGGTCGCTTATACCATAACCATGGCCACAATTGGATACATAGCCCCAGGTAATGATTAGCCTACTATACGTACATTTTATTTTTGTTTATTTCTTTTTAAGTGTCTTGCATAATTTTTATTTTTTCTTAAATGAAAAATAATAATTATAAATTTAATTAACTTGTATTTGTATATCTATGTTAGAGTATGGATCAAATGGGATGGTCTCCACGAAATGTGATATTTACAGTTATGGCATAATGTTGTTGGAAGTGTTTACCAAGAGGAAGCCAAATGATGAAATGTTCACCGGAGACCTTAGTCTAAGGAGTTGGGTTTCTAATTCACTTTCTCATACTCTTGAAGAAATTGTGGACCCAACTTTAATGAGGCCCGAAGAATTGAAAGTTAGACAAAAATTGCAATGTATATCATCTATTTTGGAGCTGGCTTTGAGTTGCACAACCGAGTCTCTCGAGGAGAGGATGGATGTTCAAGTTGTCCTGACAAAACTAAACAAGATCAAACGTGAATGTCTCACAATTTTTTAAATTTTGAAGTGTGCTACTCACATTTGTTAAATTAAGTGCTTTCAATGTATAAATATTTAAACACCATCTCAATTTAACAATATAATGTAGTAATAATGATTTCCTTTCTTTTCTTTATATGTCTCGTTTGTGTAATTGTGTTATTTCAATATGCATGATTTAATATTTGGGATGATTATGTACTCATCTTTTTAAAGAACTCTTAAATGGTTGTCCTGTTGTCTTATTAAAAGGGTTATTTAAAGTCAATTTTTAATTGAAGTATACCCTAAACTTAAATATATATGATTTGAATACCTATTTGTTATGAAAATTTTCTGTATTCTTATGCATATATATTTCAGTCAATATATATATATTTTCATAAATATTTATGAAAAAAAAATTGTTAGGTGCCGAAACCTTCGGTTCTGTTTACAATGGCACATTTGGAAATGGGTTATTCTTAGCAGTCAAGGTCTTTAATTTGCAAGTTGAAGATGCATTTAAGAGTTTTGCTACTGAATGTGAAGTTTTGCTCAATCTCTGACATAGAAATCTCACGAAAGTTATAAGTGCTTGCTCTAATATGGATTTTAAAATACTCATACTTTTACATGCCTAATGGAAGTTTAGATAGCTGGTTGCACTCTGATGGCAGGCAATCTTTGCACATCATGCAAAGATTAAACATAATGATCGATGTGGCATGTGCATTAGAGTATTTGCACTATGGTTACTCAAGTCCAATTGCTCATTGTGATTTAAAGCCAACCAATGTTTTAATTGATGAAGATATAGTGGGACATGTAAGTGACTTGGCATTGCGAAGTTGCGTGGAGACGATGAATCGGTTGCTTATACCATAACCATGGCCACAATTGGATACATTCATGCAGGTGATGATTAGCCTACTATATTTTATTTTTGTTTATTGCTTTTTATGTGTCTTGCATACTTTTCAATATTTTGTCATATGAAAAATAATGATTATAATTTTAACTTGTATTTGTATACCTGTGTGTGTTAGAGTATGGATCAAGTGGGATGATCTCCACAAAATGTGATATTTATAGTTATGGATGTGTTCATCAAGAGGAAGCCAAATGATGAAATAGTGCTAGGCTTTATTTTGGTGACATTATGCTTACATGCATATCATAGGTCTGCATTTGTGTTTGGAGTGTAGGTGTATGCAATTAGTGTGAGATTTGTTTTGGTAGTTGCTGAGTGTAGTAGGTGTAGTGTTTGATTGTGTGTGTTATTTTGAAATATGGAAAATGGATATCAATGTATTTGATTTAGAACTTCAACTATAGTTGCCTCGCAGTCCCGCACTATCCAATCCTAGCTCCGCCCCTGCTTTCAATAAAAATGGGCCCCTTTTTACAAGAATATCTATTAATCTAGAATCAATGACATCCCAATTTCTTGGATCATATATAGAAATGTTAAATAAAATTGAATCATTTGATTTATCATCATTTAAACAACCATCAACATAACATTCTTATCATTTTCATCGTATACTTATCATTATTGTGCACACTATCATTTAAATTTTTTCCAGTCTCACAATCACCTTAAACTTCTTTATGAAGATTAACATCTAACAAATTTTCATTGACATCATCATTTTGCTCATTTAGTCCTTGATTTTGATGTTTTTTTTTTTTCAAATTAAAAATGCGATGAAATTATTTGTTGAAAACTAAATTTGAAAAAAAGTTGATTTAATCCTCGATGAAATTATTGATACAAAAAATGTAGGTTTTGAGAAATAGACACAAATAAACTTAGTATTTAGTTTAGTACCAAAAGAATGTAGACTTCAAATAATGAACATTATGAGGTAAATTTAATAGAAGAAAAGAGTAATTTTTTAACTCGTCATGTCTTATTATCTTTTATATAAAATATTCATTAATTACTTGTGAATTAACTAATATTTCTATAAATATTTTTGTTACGGATACAAGTAACATTAACCCCATGAACACATAAAATTGGATATATGCTTGTGGAATGAAGGTGAGAATCAATATTCTTATTTATTTATTTATTTGTTTTTGGTGTGTGACAATAAGGAAAACTCACAACCATTATTCAAAGATGTGCACTGGACAAACTCACTTTTACATATTAGCTTGCAAACTACACAGAGAAGAGGTAAACTGCACTAAAAATGTCTCATGTAATTCATAGGCTCAATCGAAAGAGTATTATTAGAATTGAACTATTAATATTTAGGTACGAGAATTATACATAACCCACTCAACCATCCCTTTCTGGTCAAATCAATCTTCCTCTTACCTTAAGAGTTGGGCAATACTTCTCTATTAAAGATGAGGTCATTTGTGTAAATTTACAATGGTTACTTTCAATTATTTTAAATTGTTGTGATTTTGTCTCCTTGTCTAAGTGTAAAAGATGACAATAATATTTGTGTAATTCCCATTAAATCTTACTCTCAATTATTTCAAATTCTTGTGATTTTGTTTAATTTTCAAGATTAAGCGAACATTATTTGTGTAATTTTTCCCAATTATTTTAGATCTTTTCAATTCTGCCACATTCGTTGACAAAGCTCTATTAAAGATGAGGTCATTTGTGTAATTTCCCACGTTAAGTGGGTGGTAGGGAGTATAGAAGCTGGAAAAAGAAAACGCCCACCGTGGGGCTCGAACCCACGACCACAAGGTTAAGAGCCTTGCGCTCTACCAACTGAGCTAGACGGGCTAGTTGTTTAGAGTTTAACTATTATTTATATCATTCTTTAAAGAAATTGGATTAGGTCATAAGTTAATTTATATTTGATAAATATTCACAAATTCAATTCTTCTATATGAGTACCCAACAAACACTCAAGTTTTCAATTAAGTAAAGTTCGCTTGTGGTCAAATGGGTTGGGATGGGTTATAAAATTAGAGTTTAGGTTCGATGCATATTCACAACTTTAATAGTTTTCTAGAGTGTCCAATATATTTTCAAATGGATAATTTAAGACGCTTGTAGTCAAATGAAAAGAGATGGGATTAGAGCTTACGGTTGATATGATGTATATTCGATTACAACTCCAATAAACACTCAAGTTTTCAATTGGATAAAGTGCTTTGGGGTTAGATGGAACAAGAAATGATTTAGGATTAAAGTTTACGCTTGCTAGATATTCACAACTCGAAAAGTCTACCTTCTACGAGTGCCCAACAAACACTCAAATATCTAATTGTTGATGTAATCAATTCAAGTTGAAAAATATTGGCTAAAGACTCACGAGTCAAGACTCAGTGTTCTACAGATGACCAAGAAATATTGAAGTCTTCCATTAGTACGTGTTAGATGGGATGGGAATATAATTGAAATAGCTAGCCTTAGAGTTTAAGACATTTAATTTGATGGTTGTTTACAACTTCAAAGATGACCCAACACCTACGCACATAGTCGTTATACCGTGGATCATGGTCCAAAAACGGCGCCATTTATTTAAATAAAGAAATAACTGACGTTATATCTTAACAGAGCCTGTATTTTTTGTGTTCATAATAAAAAATGAAACTACAGTGTATTTAAAATGAAATTGTCTCACATATTGTTTTTATATTATGAAATTAAACTATAATTGAATTAAAATGATAGTTTAGTTGTGTTGAAATTAAACTTCACTATGTATAAAATGAAACTGAATAATATGTCTCACATATTGAGTGTATATTGTCAAATAGAACTGTAGTTGAATAGAAATGATATTGTAGTTGTGTTGTAATGAAACTACAATGTATATAAAATGAAACTGAATAACAGTTTCACAAATTTGAGTGTATATATTGTCTAATGAAACTGTAGTTATATTGAAATGATACTGTAATTGCGTTGTAATGTAACTACACTATATATAAAATGAAACTGAATATGTTATACAAACAAAATTACTTTACGTGGAACGGGTGCCGTTTCTTTTTCATTAAAAGAAACGACACCGTTTTGGACCATGGTCCACGGTATAATTTGCCGCACGCACAAATTGAAACTTGAAAGCTACTAGCTCTAGTTTAGTCTCCAATCAGATGACCATGACCAAGTCTTAGTCGACAAACATTGTTTTTTTATACATCTCTATAAGGTGGCAAAATCATTATGAATTTATACCATACATCTCTATGAGGATCTTTCGTATCATTGCTCTCAATTTGCATATCATGTTGAAGTTAAGTTTATTATTCTCTTCTCTGCTGTTATTATTACTCTACTCCATAATTGTTTGCTCGGCGGCCATGAACATTACTACTGATGAATCCTCTCTTCTTGCATTGAAATCAAGCATTAACATCAACTCTCATCATACCATAATGGCCAACTGGTCTAATGCTTCCTCTGTGTGTGAGTGGAAGGGAGTTACATGTGGCCGTCGTAATCGACGAGTGGTTGCTTTAGACATCTCCCAAATGGGGCTTTCTGGAACCATTCCTCCACAATTTGGAAATCTCTCATTTCTTGTTTCCCTAAATGCGAGTGGCAATAGTTTTATTGGGAATCTACCTAATGACTTAACTCATTTGCGTCGATTGAGAGTCTTTGATGTTAGTGCCAACAATCTCACTGGAGAAATCCCTTCAAAGATTGGGTTCTTATCCAATCTTCAAATATTGATTCTTGAACATAATCTCTTTACCGGATCTGTCCCTCTTTCTTTTCTAAATCTGTCAAAGCTAGAAACCTTAAACTTGAATTTTAATCAATTCAATGGCTCAATCACATCTACAATCTTCAATGTTTCCACCTTGAAAAGTTTAAAAATCATAGACAACCATTTCTCTGGTATCATTCCCCTAGATTTGTGTCTTCGACTTATAAATCTGACAACGCTCGACGTAACCAGTAATGTTTTAAGCGGGGAAGTGCCAAAGAGTTTATCCATGTGTTCCAAAGTAAGATATTTGGGATTGAATTATAACGGCTTTGTGGGAACAATACCCCCAGAACTTGGGAACTTAACAAGTCTTAAAATCCTTCGTCTTGGAGGTAACAACCTTGAAGGTACGACATAATAATCCCTAATTCTTTGCTTACGTAATTGCTATTCCCTTTGAGAGTTTCATATATTGTTGATGGAATATAATGGGACAAAGAGGTAGCTTATTCCTACTAGTTATATGTTTATTGAACCTAAATTGTATTTCACACTTATCATGGTTGAAAAAATCGCTAGGCGTTCCTCGGGCGCTCGGGGACACCTAGCACCTAGGGTGCCTAGGCACCAGTGTATTTTTTATTTTTTAAAATTATTTAAAATTTTTAAGACTTGATAATTATAAACTATTTAATACTTTAATAGTTAATACTAAAATATTAAATATTAATCTAAAAAACATCTAGAGTTTAAACAATCTACGATTATTTGGCTCAAAACGATATTATTTTGAGTGAAATAACTAATTTTTTTTTTATAAAAAAGGAACAATAGCTAATCAGCCGACTAGTCAGTGTTTAGGAGTCCTAGTCAAACACCTAGGAGGCCTGACAGTCAGTGCCTAAGCAGCCTAGGCGGCCTAATCCGCCGCCAGCCGCCTAAACCACCGTTTATGGTGATACGCTAGGCGGTTGGCCAACGCCTAGCGCCTAAGCGCCGATTAATCAATGCTTAATTAGGCGGGAGGAGGGACTTTTACATTTTCTAAACATGTTAAACATGTGTGGTAGTAGTAAGCCCGATTAATCGGTGCGAAGGACTTTGGATTTTAGTTTCATTTTTCACGCACACTAGTTTTATTGTAGCAACACTAAAGTATCATTTTAACTACACTACAGTTTCATTTGACAATAATGTGCTCTGTTTTTTAGTTTCATTTTGCACACATGTTAGTTTTATTATAGCGATACTAAAGTATTATTTTAATTCTACTACAGTTCCATTCGATGATCATGTTCCACATATTGTGTGGACCATGCTCCACTGTATAACAATTGAGCTAATACTTGTAAATTTTGTACTCTCTCAAATTGAAATATAATTCTGGAATACCACTTTAGCTAGTTGAACAAGATATATTACCTTCAGTTACGTTCTACTTATCCTCAATCTCTTTTATTAAGCAAGTGCTCTAATACCCAACCCGGCCTGTTGCTGAAATTCAATTTCTTTTTATTATGAAGATTAAAAAATGCTTGTACCAAAATCTCAAAAATTGATATAATTTGTTTTCTCGATCAGGAAGAATTCCTAAAGAAATTGGTTGTCTACACAACTTGGAGCAATTAGAAATGGAAAACAATCACTTAACGGGCGTACTACTACCACACATGTTTAACATGTCTTCACTGCAATGGTTGAACTTGAACACCAACAACATATCAGGTAATTAGCTATCCAATATTAACATTTGAGTTAATTCCCAAAATAGTTTTCTGACTATGATTTTTTCTCAAATTGGTTCCTTGACTTTTAATTGCACCCAAAGTGGTCCTCCGACTATTGAATTTTAAGCCAAAATAGTCCTTTGTTAGTTTTGGTGTTAACTGTTAAGTGGGTGTTTAAATGAAGGGTAAAATTGGTAATTCGGTGTTTTACTATAGTCAGAGGACTACTTTAGGTGCAAAAGTCAAAGAACCAATTTGAACTATCTAGTTAATATTTTAAAAGAAAATTTCATTTTTATGAACTATCTAGTTAATATAATCTAAAAGTTTCAATTGTATATTATTGTATTTAAATTAATATAAAATACTTAGAGTTGATCTAATTAAATTAAAAAGTATTTATGAATTTAATATTAATAGCAATGATATATAATTTATTCCAACCATTTCGTATTTTATTATATATATTTTTTATCACGTTTTGAAGTTATTTTTTTCACCTCCACTGACCAACATTTTTTGTTCTGCCCCTATAAACCAATATTGTATTTTTGTAATAGACAATGATTTTGTTTTTAATCTTTCTTATCCGTTTGTATTTAACTATAGTCTTTTTTTTTTTTTAATAAGTAATGGTTTATGTCTGTTGTCCATTTGGTTGTAATTTTTCACAATAGTTTTGTCATTATATGTATGTCTATTTTTTTTTTTTTTTTGAAGGGATATGTATGCCTATTTATGATCATAGAAAATCAAAATCCAAATACATAATGTCATGCATTCCTGAATAATAAAGAGTTAATCCAAAGTTAATGTTAGTTTGTACAACTATATATAAGTACTAGGCTATAATCAAAATTATTATTCTAAGTTATTTTTTTTTTTTTTTAAAATTCTACCTAACATTAAAGTAAACAGATTGTTTATTTAGAAAATGAAAATAAGTACAAGATCAACCCTTTTAATCAAAATGAGTACAAATCATGTTTGAACTATAAAGAGAAAATTTCTAAAATGGTCATTCGACTATGGTCTTTTCTCAAATTAGTCCTTTGACTTTTAATTGCATCCAAAATAGTCATTTGACTATAGTGAAAACCCTAAATTACCATTTTTATCCATCATTTTAACACACACTTAACGCCAAAACTAACGGAGGACCATTTTAACTTAAAATTCAATAGTCGAAGGACCACTTTAGGCGCAATTAAAAGTCAAGGAACCAATTTGAAAAAATGCCATAGTCGGAGGACTATTTTGGTAATTAACTCTTAATATTTTAATTTGCTCTTTTATTGGATAACTGGAATATGCTAGCTAATTCTCATTCTGTATACGAAAAATGTGTATATTTTCCATTTCATATCTATATTTAGATAAGCTATATGGAACCGAATCAATTGATTATGTCCGAATCTACTATACTAATAAGAGCCCAAGAGAGTTAGGCCTATAATGAGTAGAAAAAATGGTGGTCAAGTTTTTTAATCAAATGAATGGCTCAGATTGATCAGATTTTAATTTTTTCTTAAGATTTACTAATTTATCCTTAATGAATATGATTATCCGTTAACTTTTCCGTTAAATATTATCTTTTCCGTTAATTTATGTTAGTTCACCGTTAACTTATTCATTGATTTTAATAAGAAAGGTCTTAAGTTCGAAGTTCGAACCCCATCCCAATCAAAGTTGGCATATTTAGTACTCTATTTTACTTTTATTAAATTAAATAATAATTTAGTAGTTACAACAAAAAATAATACATATGTATTTCGATCTTTAATTTTTTTTTTTTTTTTGAAAGGAGCCTGTACGGCGTTTATTGAAAATATGCAGAAATAGATGCTGGCGGATCGTAGTCCGAGTACATAGTAGCTGACTGAGATAAAGCAGTAGATGCTAAAGTATGAGCTAAATAATTATCTAGTCTAGGAACATAATGAAGTAAACAATAATCGAAAGATAATATACTAGTCCTGCAGCTATCAATGGCATATCCCAAGTACGATCTTGACGAGTGTGTCATAGATGATAGGTATTGCTGAAGTACCAAACAATCCGTGAAGAGATCGATAGACTTTATTTCGCGACTTCTTAGCCACGACAAAACTTCCTTGCATGCATAGGCCTCCGCCATTAGTGGTGAAAAACAGTCTCTCATAGGGGCAGTCATAGCCGAAATATAATGTCCTTGCGAATCTAGAATAATAGCTCCTACCGCCGTTTTGTTCGTCTGTGGGTCGTATGCCGCATCGAAGTAACACTGATTCCTTATATCTCGTGTAGTTCGGAGTTCTATGCTTTGCGTCGGCGGTTGTAATATATTCTGCATGGCAGCAATGTTGTTGGGCGTTGCCGAGAAATCTGCTGCAGCCGTGTGAGTATCCACCACGGTAGCAACTCGGCCGGGTGACGTCGTGGAGGTGTGTAGCGAATGCAGACCAGGATGGGCTAATTTCCAAGCGTTCACAGCTGATGATGCCATTGCAATTATTTTCTGCGGCCTGGGCAAGGCTGCCTCCCATACAGCCCCATTCCTTGCCCGCCAAATATAGTATAGAAGTGCCACTGCATAAATAATTCCATCATTATCTAAAATATTCAACAAATCATTGAACCAATCACTGAAAATATTTGTGATACAATTGGGGATTGGAAGGTGGGATTGTGCCCAAATGTTTGTCGAATAAGCACATGTGATCAACGAATGCACAATATCTTCATGCCCAATTCCACACATGGCGCATGTTGGATCAATATCAACTCTCTTTATAAGTAAGTTCTTCGTAGTGGGTAAAATATCATTCAGAGCTCTCCACAGAAATGTTTTCCACTTTAGGGGGGCTTTAAGCTTCCATAATATTTTCCATTTATCAAAGGCCCCAACCGTTTGGGTGTAGTCACCTACTATCGTTCTATAACCACTTTTAACCGAATATTCTCCTTTTGGGTCCCCATACCAGTACCACAAATCCTCATAATCGGGTGACACAGGTATTTTTAAAACCCTCTCTACATCCTCAGGATTCAAAATATCAGTTAGTATTTCCTGATCCCAGGTTCCTGTCTGCTGGTCCATCAGTCCCATTACCTTTGCCTGTGCCAATTGGGGTGGCCTTTCTGTTATAATTCTTGGGTGACTCACATCTTGTAGCCATGGATGGTCCCAAATCAAAGTCGATTTGCCATTCCCAATCCTGCGCCTAACCCCTCCACAAACCAAATCTTGTGCTGCCAAAATACTTCTCCAGCAAAACTTGGATTATTTCCCAAGCATGCTTCATAGAAAGAATTAGTGAGATAGTACCTGGCTTTATAAACTCTTGAAACCAATGAATTAGGCTGTGTCAGAAATCGCCACGCTTGCTTGCCCAACATTGCAAGGTTAAAGGCACGCAACTCCTTGAATCCCAATCCTCCATATTCCTTTGGGATACATAGTTTATCCCAAGCTTTCCAATGAATACCCTGACCATCTCTCGATCTCCACCAATATCGATTCATTGTTCGTTCAATGGCAGTGCACAGAGTCATAGGGAGTAAAAAAACGCTCATTGAAAAGGTAGGCATTGACTGTGCCACACTTTTCAATAAAACTTCTTTTCCTGCCTGTGACAAAAGTTTCTTATTCCACGAGTCTATCCTCTGCCTTATCTTATCTTCAATATATGAGAATGCCACTTTTCTATTCCTGCCCACAAATGATGGAAGCCCCAAATACTTTCCAAAATTTTGAGCCTGCATTACTCCCAACATATCAGCAATCTCCTCCCTTATTTCACTTCGGGTATTCTTACTATAACAAATGTTCGATTTGTGATAGTTAACTGCCTGGCCAGACATCTTCTCATATTCCGACAAACAACGTTTCACCACACCCGCCTCTTGAGTATTTGCTTTGAAAAAAAAGCAGACTATCATCAGCAAAAAATAGGTGGGTAATGGAGGGAGCTCCTCTCGCCACTCTACATCCATGTATCTCCCCTCTTGCTTGTGCCTGTTGTAATAACATTGAAAGCCCCTCAGCACAAATAATAAACAAATAAGGTGACAGGGGATCACCTTGTCTTAAACCGCGAGTCGGGGTTATTTGATCAGTCGTCGAACCATTTACCAGTACACTGTAAGACACAGTGGTTACACACATTATTAGTAACTCTATCCATCTTTCATCAAACCCCAGTGCCCTTAGCATCCCTTCCAAAAACGGCCATTCCATACGATCGTAAGCCTTAGCCATATCCAGCTTTAAAGCCCCCCAACCTGCTAGTCCACATTGTTTCTTGTTCAAAAAATGGCCAACTTCCGCCGCTATCAAGATATTATCTGTAATTAGTCTTCCAGATATAAATGCACTCTGGGATTCAGAAATAATACTCTCCATTAGTGGCTTCATCCTGGCTGTAATTATCTTTGCCATAACTCTGTAAATAACATTACTCAAGGCAATTGGCCTATAATCAGAAACCATTTCCGGGGTTTTCTTCTTGGGGATCAAAATAATGTTCGTTTCATTTAATTTGCCAGGTATTGAGCGAGTATTCAAACAATTCAGAATATAAGTAGAGACATCAGAACCCACTACATCCCAAAAGTATTGATAAAATCCAGGGTTCATACCATCCGGGCCTGGTGCTTTATCAGGATACATTGAAAACAGTGCTGCTTTAACCTCCTTCTCCTCAAAAGGGCGCAATAAACTCTCATTCTGTATATCTGTTACACGTGACTGTATACTCCCAAAGAACTCATCATCAATAGTAGGAGTACTCGAGTTAAAAATACCACGATAATAATCCAAGATTTCATTCGTCATGGCATCCCCCTCAATCCAATCCCCATCACTATTCATAATTTTAGTAATAGAATTCTTTTTCTTTCGATGAGAAGCATACCTGTGGTAAAATTTGGTGTTTAAATCCGCATCCTTAAGCCAATGCTGCTTGGCCCTCTGCCTCCAGTACGTATCTTCCTGTAACTCAATACGAGCCAAACATTCATCTAGTCTCCGGAACTCGGCTAGGGATACTGGATCCGTACATCCCCGCAGGCGCAACTGTTCCTTCCGTAAATTCAATATTTTCTCACCAAACTTATGGAATCGGTCTCCACCCCAGTGTGTTAACCGATCACCACATAGAGTGACACACTCCTGCAACCCTCTGCTCCTTCCCTCGCCCCATGATTTCTCCACCACCTCTCTACATCCCTCATCATGTAGCCATGCCATCTCAAATCGAAAACCCCTTCTCCGACCACCCCTCCTTCCCCGCAGATCGAGAATCCCAAGGAAGAGGAAGGAATGATCTGACTTCCGGGTTAATATATTTTGCACATTAGCATCAGCCACTAACTCCCTCCAGGTTTGAGAAGCCAAAACCTTATCCAATCGTTCCTCTATCCAGTTGGGCGTGCCCTTTCCTTTCTCCCAAGTATATGGATATCCAGACATTGGCAATTGTGTCAAACCACACTCCTCAATAGTTTCTCCAAAACCCCGTAGCAAGCTGTCTGGATGGGGATTCCCTCCTCGTTTCTCATACTGATATAAGAGATCATTAAAATCTCCAATAATTACCCATGGCAGATCCGATCTACTAGCCAATGACCGAATAAGATCCCACGACTCTCTTCTCTGGGGGCGCTTCGAGAATCCATAAAACCCAGTCATCCTCCACTTATCAAAACCTGGCACACTCACCTCAACATCTATGTGGTTATTAGAATAACCCATTATTCTTGCAGTCTCATTCGTTCTCCATAACAAAGCCAATCCTCCACTCAATCCAGTGTTATCCACATTCAAAAGGCCTTCGAAACCCAGTTTAATCCGAAGTCGCTCTGCATGATCTCGGTTAACCTTGGTTTCCATCAGAAATACAAAATCGGGTTTCTTGCGGGACACTACGTCCTCAATTTCCCGAACTGTCCGTGGATTACCCAAGCCACGGCAGTTCCAGCTCAATGTACTCATTGGGTCGGGCGAGTCTGCACTGCAGCACCCGCCATCTGCAAGTTTTTTTGAACATCGGTCATTGCTATATCCTCTTCCAACACCACTCCCTCCCTCACCCGATAGCCCCTACCACCCTCAACCTCAGAATTCGCCAAACATAAGTTGTCTGGCTCGATACCCACTCCCACTTCCACTCCCCCATCAACCTCCCCATCCACTCTACGTCTCTTCGGTTCCACCCTAACTCCCTCTTCCTCCCCAATTACCCCCTTCTCCCTCGACATCCCAACCTGTCCGTCACCATCCTCCCTCACAGCATTACCAACCGCCACCCTTCCCCTCATTCCAACCGTATCCCGCCCCCCCCCCCCCCCCCCCCCCGTGCCTGTCGCACCGTGACCGTATCCTCCAATACCAAACCCAATTTCCTTCCTCCGCTCTTGCCCCATCTTAAACCATTTATCACCCAATGTCTTTGCCGGATTATTTCCACCCGCTCTCATAGCCGCCCCAAATAGATATTGATCTGGTGACAATAGCGAACGACGAGCAGCTAAACAGAATTTATCAGTATGCCCCATCACACCGCAGAAAAAAACAGAACATATGCAACCGTTCGTATTTGAAATTTATCCAGACCCACGTTCCATCCCGCATAATCATCTTCATACGTCGTTTCAATGGAACCGAAATATCATGTGTTATACGTACCCGGTAGAATGAAGTCCACGGCCGTTCAAAATTACGTTCATCATACCGCAAGTATATTCCCGCAAAATCCCCGATCCGCTCAAGCACTTTTATGGTCCGGTATCCCAATGGAATATCATAAACCTGTAGCCAGAAATCCACCGTGTTCAACACTATTTGCGTCGGGTCCTCCCCATCATTCAATACCTGGCAAAGAAACGTCGCATTCTCAAACGCCCACGGACCTTCCTCCAATACCCGACGCATGTCTGCCTCGTCAAAGAATGTAAAGAGATATAAGTTCGGGATAACGTCCGTGATCTCAATTCCCATCAGTGGCCGCCATGCCGAGGCCATGACTCGCTTCATCACTTCCACCTTCATGATTCGGTCCGTGAGGAACCGGCCAACCAACGTCCATGTGCAACGTTCCGGCAGCGGCATCGCAACAGCGTAATCTTCGTCTTCAAAACGCACGCCCTGTTCCTCGTCCTCCAGACTCATTCCCGCAGTCGTCGCTGTGAGCTCATGCACATCCATCGCTGATTCGCTGTTGTCCGATCGTTCGGACGCAAGAAAACCTCGTCGGAACCCTAGATCTCAGGGGGGTACGGTAGGAAACCCTAATATCCAGGGAGGGAGTTCATACGGAGAACTCAGATACTTTTTTTAATACTCGATCTTTAATTTAGAATTATGTATCTACAATGTTTTTATTCAAAAAAATTATTCATTATCAATAAATTAAATAAGAGAAATAATTTCATTAGTTATATTGTCTTTATTTTCTCCAATATAAAAATTCTTTACATTCAAATTCATCAATTGATTATATTCGCTACATTATCCCTACAATGTCTTTATTAAAAAAAAAATTATTCATTAACAACAAATTAATTAAGAGAAATAATTTTATTATATTATATTGTATTTATTTTTCTCAAATGTAAAAATTATTTACATTCAAATTCATGAATGGATTATATTCACTACATTGCCTATTATCTTTTTTGTGCACTATTTTTTAATTAAATATCAAAGTTATAATACAAAATAATGTTATATATTTATTTACCAAGTATTTTATTAATACCATGAAAAAATTAAGAAAAATATAATTAATAAAGCCAATCATATTAACTACTTGAGGAATTTGTTGACAAAGAGAGTATTCAAATCACACAACAAATTAAAGTGAGAACTATCTCGTAATGTCCTTGTTTGACAATCAGTAGTTAGCGGTTAGCTTTAGCGGATTATATTAGCTGATTTGACCAGCGAATTATATCAACAGTTGGTAAAAAGATATTTGGAAAAATTAGTTTTTTAGATTAACATGTAAAATAACCTAAGGTATACATATATTTAATAATAATAATAATAATAATAATAATAATAATAATAATAATAATAATAATAATAATAATAATAATAATAATAAT